ACATGACGTAGAGGTGCAGCCACCACTGCTCGTCCGACATGCCCGTGCGGCCAGCGTCCTCGTCTCTCGCGCAGTCGATGGTGACGCCCTTGCGCAGCGTCTGGCCCTGCGACAGCGTGGAGGTCAGGTAGGACGCGTGCGTCAGGGTGAACCCCGAGCGGCGCACGCTGTGCGCCCCCGAGCTCTGCCATGTGAACTCCCTTTCGCTGGGCCTGAACATCAGCAAGCTCCGCGCCCGCGCCTCGGCCTGGCCGTCGTCGTCGGCGCCTTCGGCGCCCTGTCGCAGCACCTCGGCGACCTGAGGAGCCCAAAAACTTCCTTGTTGCGTCCAAAATGTGGCCTGGGAGCTGCGTTCTGGCAGCGCGAGAACCCAAAATTGACGACAGTTACAGGTTTTGGATGACCCGCTCGGATTACCAACATGATCTGCGGGCCCCATAGGGAGGGGGCTCCCGCCTGAGACTTCCTCACAATTCACTCACAGACGAGGCTCCCGCCTGAGACTTCCTCCAAATTCAGGCTTGAGGAGCCCAAAAGTGACGACAGTTACAGGGTTCCGATGACCCGCTCGGATTACCAACATGATCTGCGGGCCCCATAGGGAGGGGGCTCCCGCCTGAGACTTCCTCACAATTCACTCACAGACGAGGCTCCCGCCTGAGACTTCCTCCAAATTCAGGCTTGAGGAACCCAAAAGTGACGACAGTTACAGGTTCCGATGACCCGCTCGGATTACCAACATGATCTGCGGGCCCCATAGGGAGGGGGCTCCCGCTTGAGCGTTCCTCAGAATTCACTCACAGACGAGGCTCCCGCCTGAGACTTCCTCCGAATTCAGGCTTGAGGAACCCAAAAGTGACGACAGTTACAGGTTTCCGATGACCCGCTCGGATTACCAACATGATTTGCGGGCCCCATAGGGAGGGAGCTCCCGCCTGAGACTTCCTCCCAATTCACTCACAGACGAGGCTCCCGCCTGAGACTTCCTCCATTTTCAGGCCTGGGGAGCCCAAAAGTGACGACAGTTACAGGGTTCCGATGACCCGCTCGGATTACCAACATGATCTGCGGGCCCCATAGGGAGGGGGCTCCCGCCTGAGACTTCCTCACAATTTACTCAACGATGATGAGGATGAGGATGATGAGTGGTGGTGAAGATGAGTGGTGAAGAGGATGATGATTGATTGTGAGTGGTGGTGGCGATGATGTTGATGATGATGATGATGTTCGTGAGCGTGTGAGAGAGTGCGAGTGATGATGATGATGAGTATGTGAGTGACTAAGCATGTGAGAGAGCATCATCGATGATGCTGATGAGGTTGATGATGAGAGAGTGTGAGTGAGTATGAGTGTGTGTGTGTGTGTGTTCCTGTTCCTGCGCGGGGTGTCCAGAGAAAACAAGAACCCCACTTTGGATGTGGGGAATAAACACATAAATACATTATTATTATGATTATGATTCTGATTCTGATTTTGATTATGATTATGATGTAGATGATGATGATGATGCTGATGATGATGATGATGATGATCATGATGATGAGGATCATTATTGTTATTATTATCATCATCATTATTATCATTATTAGTATTATTATCATTATTATTATTATTCTTACCATTATTACTTTTATTATTATTATTATTATTATTAGTATTATTATTATTATTATTCTTATTATTAGTAAAAAAAACAAGATGTTCGTTTTGTTTTCCCTCCCCCCCTCTTCGCGTTGGAATTGCGGCCGAGGCCCTGTGGGGTCCCGACATATAGGGCCTCCCTGACGTCGGACGCAAGAGTCTCAGGTCGCGGCTCTCCGAGCTGAAGGTAGACTGCCCAGAGGGTGGTGCTCGCTAGGACAGGGGGCTGGTTGAGGGGTCCCTCAGTGCAGGTCGCAGCCGAAGCGATTACACCTTAGGCGATGCTTAAGAAAACCTAAGTTTTCGTCCAGAGTCTCGATTATTTTTAATTTTCCAATGTAAATCCCAAGATTTTGATAGAAGTTCTGGGTTTTATTCAATTTCTGAGACTGTGAATTTCTTAACCCATGATTTCTTGAGCATTTCGCAGGGTGTAAGACCGATGCTCAGATTTTTCAGGGCGGCATGTTGTCGGATCGAATTTTAGCTGCGTTGTCTTCCAAGGCACAGGCGGGGGCCCAGAGGCCGAAACCGTGGGCGCTGGCAAAGGGGGCCCGTTTCGGCTTCAGTGTTGGCGTGCCAGAGGATTGGATTCAGTTTTCCAGGGCCCACGGGGCAGGCCTGGGACCTTCGGCAGGTTTCGCCGGCGTTCGTCTCCAGGGGGGCGGGATTCTCGGCGAGTGGGTATTCAGATGTGGCGGCTCTTGGAAAGATGGGCCCAGGCAGTGATTGGCGAGGTGGGCTTGTCTGGGGGCTTCTCAATAAAAGGAAGGCGGGGGGGGCCTGGGGCGTGGGGAACTAGGGGATTTCGCGCGCGCTGCGGGGCCCCATCGTCGGATCCCATTGGTGCTGGGTTCGATTGCGCCAGCGTTGCTCAGAGCTTGCCTCGGAGTGCGTCCTTTGTGGCGAGCGAGGCGCCCTTTTCCATCGCCGCTTTCTCTGCCCGTCGCGCGTGCCATGGGGGCGGGGCAATCTTCCCGACAGCGAGGCGCGTAGCCACTTGCAACGCCGAGCTTCAGGAACGTTTTGCCCGAGAGGTTTTGCCCGGCCCTTGCCTGCTTGTGGCCAGGGAACCCTGGGGCCCTACCTCGGAAGTTCGCGTGTGTGGGCGGAGGTCTCGCGGGGCCGTTCATGCGGTCTAGCGGTTTGGTCTTCTGTGGCGGCTCGGGTTTAGATGGATTGTTCCCCTCGCTTCGCGCGGCTGGATGGGGCGTCGCCATTTTTGACCGGGATCGCAGATGCATTGCCGAATGGTGCATTTCCGTTCCTCTGGCCGCCTTGCCTGATCTGGTGGCGCGAGACGGCGAGGATTTTTTTCATTGTTTTTCCAAGCTGTGCGCAGGAGATGTCATCCTTTCTCACTCACTGCAAAGGCATGCTGTCAAATCAACTGCAGGGCCTTCTCCTGGCCCTCTCCTCCTCGATATTCAGGGCGCACCTCAAGGAGCTTGCGTGCGAGTCGGGGGTCCTCGTGGGGGCTTGTTTCAGGAAGGTGCCCGCGTGTCTGCGACAAATGTCAGAGAGGGCTTGCTGTCTGAATTTGAGCGCACAGAGAATCATGAAGTGGACAGACTCGCCAAGCTAGGAGCTGATCTAGTCCAGCACGACCCTGAGGACATCCTGCATGCCAGAGGTTGCTTGAGTTTGTCTCCTGAGCTCCTCGAGCTTATCGCGAGATCGAAAGTTCCCTACTTCGAGCAGGGTGCTTTTGTTCATGCAGGAGCTCCTGGGCTCTCGTGGGTTTCCTTGGATTTGCCCGTCTGGAGCTTCTGAGCTGGACGTGGCCCTTCCTCCCTTCCTCTTCTGGTCGACCTGCGGAGGCTCTGCTGCGGTCTCTGCGGGGGCTGCGGGTCTCCACGATCTGTGTGCGGGCTCCGCTCGTTCCCGAAGCGGAGCGGGCAAGGCAACATCGTCCAGCTTTTCCCGGTGGAAGCACCCGAATCGGCCGCGCAGGCTGGGCCCCGTGAGTATTTCTGTAGGCTTCGCGGTGGGGTCGTTCGGCCCAAGGTTCCTTGATGCTTGGCGCGAGGCCCTGCCAGGTGGACCCAGGGCGTCGGGGGCTTTTTGTTGCAGGGGTTCGGGCAACCTCTGCCTTTCAGATTGCCTCCGGGCTTTGGGGCTCAACGAGACTGAAGCTCGAGGGCTCGGCAAGCTGTGCCGGGCTCGGGAGCCTGAACACTTGTTGGGCGAGGAAGGATCTGTTTTCCTGATGGGGCCCTGTCGCTGGCCCACGGTGCGCAGCCGGTCCGCGCCGCACCGTGGTGACACATAGGTCCTCTCAGATGGGCCGCCTCTGGGTTTTTGGACCGTCTTTCTTTCTGTCCCCCCCAATGGCGTGAATCCTCCTCCTCTTCCTCCCCCTCCTCCTCCTCCTCCTCCTCCTCCTCCTCCTCCTCCTCCTCCTCCTCCTCCTCCTTCCCGCGCTCATCCCTGCTTGCCTGCCTCCCCCGCGCGCGTGGACGCACGCGCACGACTGGGCGAGCGGCGCGCGCGGGGGCCGGGCAGAGAAGGGGGCGGGGGCGGCCAGCCCTTCGATGGAGGCCTCCCGCTCCCGCGGAAGTCGCGAGGGGCGCGTGGGCTCTCGGAGGGGGAGGAGGAGGAGGAGGAGGAGGAGGAGGAGGAGGAGGAGGAGGAGGAGGAGGAGGAGGAGGAGGAGGAGGAGGAGGAGGAGGAGGAGGAGGAGGAGGAGGAGGAGGAGGAGGAGGAGGAGGAGGAGGAGGAGGAGGAGGAGGAGGAGGAGGAGGAGGAGGAGGAGAGGAGGAGGAGGAGGAGGAGGAGGAGGAGGAGGCGGAGGAGGGGGGGGAGGGGGAGGGGGAGGGGGAGGGGGGAGGCCGGGAGGGGAGGAGCGGAGAGGAGGAGGAGGAGGAGGAGGGAGGAGGAGGAGGAGAGGAGGAGGAGGAGAAGGAAGGGGAGGGGGAGGGGGAGGGGAGGGAGGGGGAGGGGGAGGGGTAGGGGGAGCGGGAGGAGGGGAGGAGGAGGAGGAGGAGGGGAGGGGGAGGGGGAGGGGGGGGGAGGGGGAGCGGGGGGAGGAGGAGGAGCCGGTTCTCGTCCGAGGAATCCCCCCCGTCGCCGCCAGCGCCGTTGGTCTCCGGCAGTGTGCGCCCCGCCGTCGCTTGCCCGTCTCGTCTCCGTCCTCGCAGACACTGGCAGGCTCTTCCTGCCAGAGCTCGCTGTGGTGTGGGCTGTGCCGCCCGTCGTCCTGTCAGGCGCGGTCGCGTTGAATCGTGCTGCATTCTCGATCCAAGGGGGTGCGGTCTGCAAGACTTTGGCGGGGGTTCCAACAGGGGTGGCTGGAGGGTTCAGCGTCTTCCTCGCCACTCCTCCTCACCAGTCGCCCATCGCACTCGTGTTCGGCGGAGGTTCAAGAAGAACGGCTACAGGGCCATGAAGATGCGCACGAAGGCATCACCGATGCGTGCCCCCGCCGCTCTCAGGCGCTTTCGCTGGTCTTCCCAGTCGCTGGCCCGATCGGTGTCGTTGTCGTCCTCAACAAGCGCTCCTTTTTGTGCGTCAGCCCGTGCCTCGCCACCGCCTCATCCACCATCATCGCTATGAGCCCCGCCTTTGGCCTTTGCCGCCTCAGCGGCCACGGGGGCACCATCGCAAACGTCGTGCAGGAAATCGCTTCGCCGCCACCCTCACCACCGTGCATGGGTTGCGGGTCGGAGTCCTCATGGATGCTTCTCGAATTCTCTTTGGAGGGCTCTCGGGAGCCTTTGCGGGACAGTTTTGAAGCCTCCTGGGAGCGAGTTGATGGCATTTTGGGGGCCTCTTGGGCTTCCTGAGCTTGGGGCCTCTTGGGGGCCTCGTGGGGGCTGCCTGTGGGCCTCTTGGGGCGGAGAGTTCGAACAGCCCGTGCGTGTTCCCCTACGGGGCCCCTCTGGGCGCCTTCTTGGGGCCCTCTGGGACGGTCTTGAGCGTCTGGTGGGCTGTCTTGGAGCTCTCTTGGACTGTCTTGGGGCCCTCTTTGGGGGCCAATCGGGCTGTCTTGGGACGATCTTGGAGGCTGCCAGGGCTGCCTGGGACGTTATGCAGCCCGATCAAGCGAATATGCTAGACAGGTACGTTTTCCGAAAGGATTGAGCCGATCTTGGCCTCATGGGGCTCTCTTGGGGGTGCTCTTGGTCCTCACTTGAGCCTTCTTGGAGGCCTCGTGGGACGTCTTGAAGCCATCTTGGGGGTCTGGGGGCGCTCTCGAGACGACCCGAGGTTCTCTTGGATCGTCGTGGCGGCCTCTTCGGTGCCTCCCGGCTCGTTCTCGGAACCTCATATGGCTTGCGGAGGACGCACGCGACGCAACCCGGGAGCTCCCGGAACTTCCCAGGAGCCGCTGGGGAACGGGGTGTCCGGGCCCTCGAGGATCTCGAGGAACGCTCGATCCTCCACCTCTCGGAGCCAGCAGGAGCCCCGGGGCACTCCACTGCGTGCCGGAGGCACGGTGGCAGATTGGTCGCACTATTTCGGTTCACGTGATTCTGACTGCGATGCTGATCTGGAAGATGATGCAGATTATGGTGGCGATGACGATGACGATGACAATGATGCTGATGATGCTGCTGCTGCTGATGATGCTGACGATGATGCTGCGGATGCTGATGACGGTGATGATGGTGGTGATGCTTTTGATGATGGTGGTAGTAGTGATTTGGATGTTGATGATGATGACGATGCTGCCGATGATGATGACGATCATGATGCTGATGCTGATGCTGATGATGCTGATGATGATGATGATGATGATGATGATGATGGTGACGACGACGACCAGGATGATGATCATGCTGGTGATGATGATGAGGATGATGATGATGATTCTGATTATTCCCTACCTAGGCTCTGCCTAGAAGGGTTCTTACTCGCTTGGCTTAAAAGGGCCGGCCAGTGCAAACCGCCCTGGGCGGTTCCCCCAGTCCCCTGGGAGCCAAGCAAAAGCAACAACAAAGGTAGAAGCAAACGCGCGGTTCCCCCAGTTACGCTCCCTGAGTGCCAAGCACAAGCAAAAGCAAAGGCAAAAGTGAAGGCAAAAGCGAAGGCAAAGCAAAAGCATAGCATAGCATAGCATAGCATAGAATAGCATAGCGCAGCATAGCATGGCGCAGCATAGCATAGCATAGCATAGCATAGCATAGCATAGCATAGCATAACATAGCATTGAAACCGCATATTCCAGCGCCCATGATGCCCGCCGAAACAATGCTGAACAGCTTGTTGCACCGATCTGGGAGTTGCTGCTGCTGTACAGTTTCGAAGGAACGTTCGGTGTAGCAAGTGTTGCACAACCTTGCTCAATGCCAAGTCGTGCGGTGTAGGCCGGATCCGGAGCATTCTCAAACACACCCGGTGAGCGAATGCAAAAGCATGCGTGTGTGTGTGTGTGTGTCTGTGCGCAGGCAAAGCAAAAGCAAAACCAAGCAACATCAAAAACAAAAGCAAAGCAAAAGCATCAGCAAAAGCCAACGCAAAAACAAAAGCAAAGGCACAGGCAAAAGCAAAGGCAAGAGAAAAAGCAAAGGCAATGCAAAGCAAAAGCAACACCAACGCGAAAGTGTAGATGTAGATGTAAATGCAGATGTAGGTGTAGGTGTAGGTGTAGATGTGGATGTGGGTGTAAATGTGGACGTAGATGTAGACGTAGATGTAGGTGTAGATGTAGGTGCAGATGTAGATGTGAGTCTCGCTGTTGATGTAGATGTAGATGTAGATGCAGGTGTATATGTAGATGTAGCTGTAGGTGTAGATGTAGATGTAGGTCTAGATGTAGATGTACGTGTCGATGTAGATGTAGGTGTAGATATCGATGTAGATGTAAAGAACTCCCCAGTGCCCCGCCCTCATCTCCGTGCCTGCTTGCTTCTGCTGCTGCCTCGGCGGCTTGCTGCCTGCTTCTGCTGCTGCTTCACTTGCGGCGTGGCGTCGGCGGTTCTGGCGCTACTACCAATATTATTATTACTACTACTACTACCACTACTACTACTACTACTACTACTACTACTACTACTACTACTACTACTACTACTACTACTACTACTACTACTACTACTACTACTACTACTACTACTACTACTACTACTACTACTACTACTACTACTACTACTACTACTACTACTACTACTACTACTACTACTACTACTACTACTACTACTACTACTACTACTACTACTACTACTACTACTACTACTACTACTACTACTATACTACTACTACTACTACTACTACTACTACTACTACTACTACTACTACTACTACTACTACTACTACTACTACTACTACTACTACTACTACTACTACTACTACTACTACTACTACTACTACTACTACTACTACTACTACTACTACTACTACTACTACTACTACTACTACTACTACTACTACTACTACTACTACTACTACTACTACTACTACTACTACTACTACTACTACTACTACTACTACTACTACTACTACTACTACTACTACTACTACTACTACTACTACTACTACTACTACTACTACTACTACTACTACTACTACTACTACTACTACTACTACTACTACTACTACTACTACTACTACTACTACTACTACTACTACTACTACTACTACTACTAGTACTACGACTACGACTACGACTACTACTACTACTACTACTACTACTACTACTGCTACAACAACTACTACTACTGCTGCTACTACTACTACTACTACTACTACTACTACTACTACTACCGCTACTGCTACAACTACGACGGTGAGGAGAAGGAGGAGGACGGCGTTTACCGCTCCTACTGATGTTGCTTTCCTGGAGGCTCCAACTCCTAGGTAGGGTCGCACTTGGATAATGTTTATGGTTCTGATTCTGATCACGATGACGATGGCGCTGCTGCTGCTGATGATGTTGCTTATGCTGTTGCTGATGATGCTGCTGCTGGTGATGCTGACGACGATGATGATGATGCTGGCGACGATGTTGATGATGATGATGGTGGTGACGACGACGACCAAGATGATGATGATGATGATGGTGATGCTGGTTATTATGATTATGATCACGATGACGATGGCGCTGCTGCTGCTGATGCTGCTGCTGATGATGTTGATGATGCTGCTGATCGTGATGACGATGCTGATGATGATGATGACGATGATGACGATGATGGTGATGATGATGGTGATGCTGCTGCTGTTGCTCATGATGGTGATGGTGGGTTGATGTCGACGATGGTGACGCCAATGCTGCTGATGATGCTGATGCAGCTGCTTCTGATTCTCATAATGATATTTTTTTGACGGTGATGATGCGGCAACTGTTTTTGATGATGATGATGCTGACGATGATGATGATGATGATGATGATGATGATGATGATGTTGTTGATGCTGATGCTGATGATGGTGATGATGATAACGATGCTGATGATGATGATGCCGATGCTGATGCTGCCGATGATGCTGATGACCATGATACTGATCCTGATGCTGTGGCTGATGCTGATGCGGCGCACTCGGACGATAACTATGCGTAAGCACGTTCATTTTTTCGAGTGTTGCTACGAGTACTCGTATCACTGCTGTTAAGCTTTCCGTGACTAGATGTACCAGGATGTTTAATCGTATTGTGATTCTGAGTGTCATGTGATGCCGATGACGACGATGATGATGATTATGAGGATGATGTTGAAACTGATGATGCTGATGCTGGTGCTCATGGTGATGCTACTGGTGGTGACGACGACGACGACGACGACGACGACGACGACGACGACGACGACGACGACGACGACGATGATGATGATGATGATGATGATGATGATGATGATGATGATGATGATGATGATGATGATGATGATGATTACGTCGCTGATGCTGATGATAACGATGATGATAATGACGATGATTACGATGCTGCTGCTGATGATGCGGATGCTGATAATGATGATGATGATGCTGATGCTGTTGATGATGATGATGCTGATGATGATGACGATAATACGGATGATGATGCTGCTGATGATGATGATTAGGCTGATCCTGCTGCTGCTGATACTGATGCTGATGATGAGGCTGATGACGGTGATGATGTTGATGATGGTGATGATGTGTTGCTGATGATGAGGATGACGATGATGATGATTCTGATGATGATGATGATGATGATGCTGATGATGATGATGATGATGATGATGATGATGATGGCGAGGCGAGGGCGCAGATAGAACGCAGAAGGAGGAGGAAGATGTGACATACTATGAAGAGGAAAAGGAGGATGATGATGAGGAGGATACGGAGGCGGAGGAGGAGAAGGAGGATGAGGATGCTGATGATGATGATGCTGATGATGATGCTGATGATGATGATCATGTTGATGATCCTGATGATGCTGATGATGACGATGATGATGATGATGCTGATCATGATGATGCTGATGCTGATGACGATGATCATCCTGCTGGGGATGATGATGATGATGTTGATGATGATGATGCTGATGATGATGACGATGATCATGCTGGTTGCGATGATGAGGATGGTGATGATGATGATGATGATGATGCTGCTGCTGCTGATGATGGTGCTGCTGATGATGATGATGATGATGATGAATGTGATGATGATGCTGATGATGCTGATGCTTACGATGGTGATGTTGATGAGGATTATGCTGATGCTGCTGATGATGATGATGCTGACTATGATGATGCTGATGATGATGATGATGCTGATGATGATGATGCTGCTGATGATGATGCTGATGCTGATGATGATGATCGTGCTGGTGATGATGATGAGAATGGTGATGGTGATGATGACGATGCTGCTGATGATGATGATTTTGATGATGATGCTGATGATGAATATGATGATTCTGATGATGATGCTGATGGTGATGAGGATGATGATGAATCTGATGATGATGATGATGCTGCTGATGATGATGATGATGCTGATGATGCTGACGATGCTGATGATGATGCTGATTATGATGATGATGCTGATGATGATGATGATGATGATGATGAGTATTATGCTGCTGATACTGCTGATGATGATGCTGATGCTGTTGCTGATGCTGCTGTTGCTGCTGATGGTGATGACGATGCTGATGGTGGTGATGATGCTGATGATGCTGATGCTGCTGATGACGATGATGATGCTGATGCTGCTGCTGCTGATGATGGTGATGCTGATGCTGATGATGCTAGAGATGATGGTGGTGGTGATGATGATGATGATGCTGATGATGAAGACGCTGATGATGATGCTGCTGATGATGATGATTATGATGATTAGGCTGATGATGAAGATGCTGATGATGATGATGATGATGATGATGATGA